AAGGCAATGGCATGTGATCAGCTAAAGACAAAAAGAAGGAAAATGACAGATTTATAAACTATTCTCATTAAGGAGTTGGGAAAATGGTTGGCCTTTTCCAAATGCAAATTATAAGCGTCTCAAACACACAGCATACTGTGAATCGAAACTGAACCTCTGAAACATGCAGCGCATATATATATATATATTTTATATAATGACATCACAACTGTTTGATGATCGCACAAAGCTATATATCCCATTCCCACAAACCTGCATCGTCAAAATTCAAAGTCACTGGGAAACGTTTTAATGCCGATTTTTTACTGCATTTGGTGCTTTGAACCCTGGTAACATGATAATAGTAATAGAGTCCAGAAATTACATTTATTTCATAATTTTTTAAGGCCATTTTTGCGATTTCAATCGATAAATACGGAAAAAATCCCATCCCTGAGGTGTTTACAATATTAATAAATAGGGTTTAACATTAAAAAATACTGATTTAAATTAACTTAATTATTACACATAATTACAAACTACTAATCAGTTTGTTGCAAACCCATAATACTTTTCTTCCGCTTTGAAGCACAAATGAAGATATTGTGATGAAATCTGACAGATTCCTGACTCTCTATTAAAAGTCTATTACACCAAAACTTTGATGGCTCAAAAAGTTCATAAAGACACTGTAAAAGTAATCCATATGGATCGAGTGGTTTAAACCTAAACTGCATCCGAAATCACATATTGTTCAGTAAGTTGGTATGAAATTTGGCTTGAAGCTTCGCAAGCATTAAAAAGGTATGTTCTATATGCTATGAATGTGTGTAGTATGAATGAAATCTAGATGTACGACATCCACCATGTTGTAGCCGTCATTTGACCAACAGCATCAGTTGTGTCGTCGCACTGGGATTCACAAATCCTCTCCCGTGGCCTCATGGGATAGTAAAGTGTCCATCAGATGCACACTTCAGAATCTCAGTGGAAGTAGTGGGACATCACCTTCTGTTTTATCAATACTGTGAATTCGGACATGCTACTCGCCAGGGCAAGTCCTCTGAAAAGACCCAATTGCTGTGCATGCATGATAAACAGATTTAATTTAGGCTTTTAGTCGCATATAAACATTGATCAACACACATACATAGAGCATTCAGATTTGGTAAATGGAGGCTCGAATGTTCTTGCTCGACATGCAAGAAGCAAGGAAGCTAATATAAGTCTCACTTTAAGTCTGGTTTGAGCTGCTACATTTTTGACGGAATGTATTTTCAATGGAGGTACAGAAATATTTTAATAATTCACAATAATAATTCATCACATTTATATAGCGCTTTTCTAGGCACTCAAAGCGCTTCACGTGGAAGGGGGGATCTCCTCAAACACCACCAATGTGCAGCATTCACCTGGAGGATGCGCATATGTGCATAACAAACTGATTAGTAGTTTGTAATTATGTGTAATAATTATGTCCTAAAATGTGCATGAAAATAGGTGGATATGACATAGCTATTAAAAATATCTTCAATTGTGTTTTGAAGATGAATGAAGTTCTACGGGTTTGGAACGACATGAGGGCAAGTAAATAATGACAGAATTCTTGGGTGAACTATCTTTTAAGAATCAGTTTGCATACTGTTACATTCTCATTTGACATAGATATTTTTGTATACTAAATAGTGGAGAAGAACATATTTGGATGGAGGGCTAGTGGTTAGTGCACATGCACTGACACGTTTAGCCATGGCAATCATGTTTATTGCGTTTCGTCTGCGTGCTGTGAGACAATTTATTATATAGCCAATGAAAATTATCATAGGCTATAATGATTGCCTATAAAAATTGGATACTGTACCATTAATAAAATGAAATGAAATAGCAGAATTATTCAGAATAACTCTACACTGGAATGATCAAAGCACAGCACTGTAGTGTGTGTGGTTGTGTTACCTGCAGGACTGTAAGTCTCTGAAACACATCCGCCCTCATGCTCATTTCCACATCGAAATCAGACAGGCGTTTCTCAGCCTCGGTGCTCGCCAATCGGACCTCTTTACATGGAGACACATACTGGGGGAAGTCCAACATATGACGTGAAGCTGAAACACAGTACGGAAAAGTGAATATGACAGCAGATGAAATAACTTCACATTAATACAATATGAATGTTATCATTCGCCACTCACCGGCATAATCTGCTTTTGCATCTGCAATGACTTGCAGAGTATTCTCGAAGCACACCTTCCCGATGTCCACGGAGCCCACGGAGTCGAAGGCTTGCTGTGTCCGCTGGGTCAGCCTCTGAGTCCGATGTCGGATCTCTTCTGGGGTCAGATCCCATCGCAGGTTGTTGTTCTTGTCAACTGTGCTGGAGCAGCTGGGGGCGGATATGACTGATCCATTCTGAAGTGTCATCTTGAGCTTTGGGCTGGATATAAAGACTCTGCGTTATATTAAAGAAAGAGCCAGTATTAAAACACTTTCTTTCTTTCTGTATTAAAGAAAGAGCCAGTGACCACTGTGCAAATATAAGCTTGCATGCATTGCATGGGCTCTTCTATGCAGCTTCTTGTAACTTTAGAAAAAGAAAAGAAAGTATTTCATAAAACAGAGAAGAGAATATAGAAGAGAAACTGTGTGCTGTGCAGGGTCGCAAGCTGTGAATGTTTTCCGTACTAACGATGGACACTTTCACATGTCTGTCAAAATAGGGAATGCGAACTTGATCTGCTTGTGACACAATTATACCACTTCACATATGCCAGTTGCAGTGCCTCGTTCCCGAGAGAAGCTAATGAGATAACCTGACTATAACCAGATATCCTCCAATATTAAAGCTTTGTAAGGTAAGTTCGTGCATTTATAGCTTGTCTATTTGACCCCAGTCACATTCAAGCATTCGGTTATTGGTAGTACCGATGTCAACCCAGTCAAACAACAACACATACACAGCATAACGTGTGTTAAACAACAGAATTCACAATACCTTCTTACCGCTCGGGCCACTGAAATGCCGAAGATAAACATGGCATGCCTATAATTTCATCCGTGCAAGGTGTAAACGTGCAAAAATAGGATGCAACTCCTACCGTCACTCTCGACCGTTAACCAATACTAGTACTACGAATACTACGATGAAGGTTTGGCTTTTGAATATTAATTGCGTAACACGGCAAGGCATTCTGATTGGCTACAAGGGAGACGTTGAGAGCTCGTAAACTGGCGAATTAATGAATGTGGTGGAAGATCGACTTATGAATATTAAACAGATAACAGTGACATGTACTTTTTTTTCTCCCCCCTTTTTTTATTGAACAAAGATCACATGTATCACACACAAAAAATAGGATAACAAACTCGAGGTAGAGCAAGGCAATAAAGTACATTTTCAAACAAGATACAGTTAGAGATGGTCTACTAAAAAAAATCATAAAACATTTCAAGCAATTGAAATTAAACATACAATACATGAATGAAAATAAATAACATGAAACTTAAAAAAAAATCATCTTCAGGATATCAGGAGGTAACATAATGAAACAATATTTTTTTAACAACAGAGCAGTTTTAGCAGCTTTCTTGTTCTTGTTTCTTGTATAAAAACTTTAAATCAACACAGAAAAGCCTAAAATTGGGCTTAGAATCAGTGACTTTACATTTATGGAGATGAAACTGCCCACATTTTAGCAGTGACATGTACGTGAACAACAACTCCAAAAGAAGTGTTCATTTTATTTAACGTTAAAAACATGTTAACAGCATTTATGTGAAAAATTCCTTTTCTACATGGTTCAATGTTTTTAATCCCTGTATCCAAAATAGACACTGTTTGGTAAGTGAAAAAAGTAGGCTAATTAATTACTAGCTAGTAGCTACTAATTATTACCTCGCCAACATTGTGGTGAAAATCGAGTCAGATAAAGCCACACTGAAGAGCCTTGAAACGCGCCGCATTATTCAATGTGTTGATGTAATTTCCACTGAAACAGGAAGAAAGGGCGGGACATATCGAACAGCTCCTCCCCTTTTAAAAAAATAGCCAATAGCATTTCGTTTAAATCACAGCTCAGCCAGAGCCGTTGAGCTCGCTAAAGCCGCAGTTTCCTCCTAATCTCCTCCATGTTGCTTTAAAGACAGCATTCAGTGCAGAATTCAGTGCAGTTTTCTGGCCTGCGGCGACTCGATCATATGATCCGGTCTGTGTATCGTGTCTCTGGACCGGAGCCGTGGCGGTTCCCGTGACACTAACGTGAAACCAGACTTCATTCGCCCCAATGGAAAGCATATTTACACTGTCTGAATCGTTCCCTATCCCCTATAGTGCACTATGTGCCTTTCACCATGTAGAAAACAGTACTTGTGTGAACAAGTGACCAATTTCAGTCCCAGCTTCAGCATCTATTTATAATGTAGGGGGCGGAGCTTCAGATTCTAGAGAGCATTTGATTGGACAGAAAATCTGATGAGAAGCTGAAGTGCAGAGTGATGTCATCTAAATCACTGATCCATTTTGGTTGAAGTGAGAGACTGTGAGTTTTGAATGCTTATATCTTCTACATGTGAATGTTGTCATTGTTTTGGAACACACTAGTTTATAGATAACAGTAAGAAGAACATATTTATACTAAAAACCAAAAAACTTAATTTTACATTTGATGTGCAATAGATCACATGAAATAATGCACACACACACACACACACACACACACACACACACACACACACACACACACACACACACACACACACACACACACACACACACACACACACACACACACACACACCTTAATGTTTTATCTTGTAAGATACAGGAAAATATGTAAATTGGCCATTTGTATTCTGCAAATATGTGCATGCAGACTTATAAAGATATATTATATGTATCATACACTTCTGTTTGATGTTTTTTGAAAGTTAATTAATAAAAAAATGTAGAATTTAAAAAATATATCAATATATTTTTACGCCTTCATTGTAGTCCTTGAACAATGGCATTTCCGGCTTGACGGCGCATGCGCTGTGCTGCGCATCATCATCATCAGTCTCACGCGAGTGTTCATGACGCTGTGGCTGGAACGAGCGCTGCGGGCACTTTCTCCAGGTAGGTGGGCGGGGGCGCGCACAGCATCCACAAGACTATAATGTTATTGATATTGTGCGCTGATATGAGATGATATGAGTCTAGAAGAGTATCAGAGACTTGCGTTTGCAAAGGTTTCTCTTTCTGTCCGTTTATTAAACTGCGAATGTCTTCAGCCATTGCCAAACCTCCTGCAATCTCATGTAAACCAGTGTAAACATAGACCATCTGTGATGCACAGGCTGCTGCTCATCTACCTAACAATAGGTTTATTCTTAAATATACATCAGGCTAAATGATATTTGATGTTGTGGGGTGAATTTTGATGCCTTTGTCATTATTACATCATAACTGCATCATGTGTTTTGGCTTTTGTTATCCAGGGACATGCATAACAGACTCAATAGCCTATTACAGTTGCACGAAACTATTCTATGTAGGCTAGTCTACAATATGGGACCAGAACAGTTTTATATTTCAGCCATGTGGCTTTGATGAGCAGAAGCTGATGAAATTATTAATAGAGAAGATTTATGTAATTAATTAACCCCTACAACAACATGCGGTTGGGCATCGTTTGAAATGTAGCGATTATGATGATCGATTTCCCAGATTTGATTCCAGTAAGTAAAAACATTTAGTCAAACATTTATATATAACATATTTGTTTAGCAACACGTTTTGTTGCAGCTGATTTCTATGAACATAAATCTGCAACCTATGGTTTTCCTATGGTTTTAACAAAAATAGCACAGCAAAAACAACTGGAATAAATAAAATACAACTGAATAAAGTTCAGGTACAGAAATTTGAATCAAATGTAAAATAACTGCATAGTTTTCTTTTTATAAATAAAATATAGATTAATCCTTTTTAAAGTTACAAAAGTTATTCAGTCAAGATCAGTGAGTGATTTTCTTTTTCTTTTGTTCTTCGAATAACGTTAATGACAAAGACGGTAGCAGGAATATTAGGCTGCTGTCACTTTAAAACCTAATGCAGGGTACTATACACTGATACATATGCGGTTTGCTTACGTTCAATTAAGACATAATCGACAGTGTTTACTAGGATATTTTGACATACTTTTGTGTGTATTTGTGCGTTCAAGCGCAAGAAGACGTGTATGAGAACACAGTTCAGTCGGTATGCACTATGTGGGCCTGTTTACATCTTGTCATTTACATGTGTTTTTACTGATCGGATAGCTTTCTCATTTGTTAAAACGGTTCCATTTACCAGTCCCACATAAATGTGTCTCCGCAAAACGAATATAAATCCGATCTTCAATTCCCGCTACATGCTAATTTAACGGAGTTTACGTCAGCGAAAGCAACAGATATGAGCTGCATTTTATTTATCATAAGCTAATTTCAATATTAAAGACAGCAATAGGAGAGAGAGAGAGGCATCAGCACCGGTAAGATCATTTAGTCTCACTACTTTTAATGAAGAGACTGTGTTTTGAGCATCTGCGACTTGCTTTCTGTTTTATTTGCGTCAGTTTGCACGTTGGCTTGCTGAAGAGATACACAGATTAATTTGCAGCGATGTGTGTTTCAGTAGCGCTGTCATATCTGGCTATAACATGACATATAACCAATAACACGCTCTTACACGTTTATTTTTTGAACATTTTGGGAGGAGTAAAATGACATATGTGGTTTCAACAACCAGATGCATTTCCACTTGCCCAGTTTGGTCTGGAATGCGGCCCAGACCTCCTCCTGAAGTGGTTTGAGCGATCGGATTTAAATCCGTCTCGAAAGCGTTTCGGAGGGAATTTACACCTGGACCGGATCGCTATCAGATCACAGAAAACACATGAAGCGATCAGGTGTAAACAGCCCCTATGAGAGGCCGCTTGGGATGCGAGAGTTGAGTTCTCTTTCATGTCTTCTTGCACTGGAAAATGGTTTGACATCACATTAAAATGCACACACATACAGGAATTGATGAGCGTAAATTGTGGAATCGAAATTTTAATGATATTACAAGTATCCGATTCTGGATTTGGAATCGATTTTTGATTCCCACCCCTAATTATGTGTCTAAATATGGTTAGAATAATCAGCTTGCAAAATGCACACATGATTGAATATTTTGTCAGTACAGTCTCTTGTTAAATCATTATTCCTCTTTCAGCTGACCCATCCATGCCACCTTTCCTCTAACGTCTGAATCTATTGAAATAAGGACCTTTTTCAACAAATCTTTCCTCAGGTTTCTCCCAGACAAAATGGCAGTGGAAAAGCGCTTGGCATATTCTATCGTGCAGTTCCTCAGAGATCAGACACACTGTGGCTCGCTGAATTCAGATGAACAGGAAAGCCTGGAAGGTAGGTCACGCTCATGTTTAAAACATTTAAAGTCACAGGCCTTTTCTGCTCTTGGACTGGCTGTTCAGATTCGGGACTCTGTCAGATCACCACAGCAAACTATTTTACTTGTCTGTTTAATTACATTATTATTAGTGATACATCGGCGGCCTGATATATCAGATTGATCAACTGACAAAAATGTGGCCATTTTGTGATTTGTAAAAAAAGAAGTGTGTTTAATTGTATTGAACGGGTAACACTTTACAATAAGGTTCATTAGTTAACTACCTTAGTTAACATGAACTAAGAATGAACAATACTTCTACAGGATTTATTGGTAACGCTTCCTTTTACAGTCCTGTTACCCATGTACTTACTATGTACTTATTATAGTAACTATAATTACTGGGTAATAACTAGGTACTAACCCTGAACCTACCCCTAACCCATGTACTTACCTTATATTAGCCAGTACTTTCTGTAAGTACACGTAAGTACTGTACTGTAAAAGGAAGCGTTACCCATTTATTAATCTTAGTTAATATTAAATTCAACATTTACTAATACATTATTCAAATCAAAGGTTGTATTTGTTAACATTAGTTAATGCACTGTGAAGTAACATGAACAATCAATGAACAGCTGTATTTTTATTAACTAACATTAACCTAAAAATAAATAAAATAAACAAAAAACGAATACAGTAACAAATGTATTGCTCATTGTTAGTTTGTGTTAGTTAATACATTAACTAATGTTAACTAACGAGTCTTACTGTAAAGAGTTACCATTGAAGGTCCACTTTAAGGGCCTCAAAAGTTGGGACATTTTGTAAAATGCAATAAAATTAAGAGTTTGTTATTTGTTCATTCTCTTGAACCTTTAATTAACTGACAAAAGTACAAAAAAAAGGTCTTTCTTTGTCTTTCACCATCTAGCATACATAGTATTGTTAAAAAAAGATTCCGGGAATCCAGAGAAATCTCAGTCTGTGTAGGGCAAGGCAGGAGACAGTCCCTCCAGGATTTCACGATTTTTTTATGTGATTTTTGCGATCAAAATGACTGATTTTTTGGTGGTAATTTCCAGAAATTTGTGAAAAACTTTGCGATTTTTATATTTTATAATTAGGACATCACATTTACCATAATAGTATTATGTCAGATGCACAATAGTCATACATGACACAAATCACAAACAAAATGCATAAAGCTTGTTTATTTGGTCTAATCAAATTCTTTTTTTTTAATTGTGCTGTAGCCTATTGTTGTTGCATGATTAACATTAACAACAGCAGGTAAATTAGGTTACTGTCACTTTAAGACCTACAACAGTAATGACAAACGTCCCAATCAGTTATTACTGATTGTTTTACGTAAATACTTGCCAAGATGAATACTTTGAAGTAATTGTAGCTATGTGTATTTGTTCAAGCGCTATAAAGAGAATTCAATATTCTAACTAGGCCGACAGCCGGTGACACGCAGTCAGTCACACACACACACACACACACACACACACACACACACACACACACACACTTGCAGTCAGAGACAGACTGTCACTCGACTGGCTGAAATTAGTTCTCTTTCACGGTATACTGCGCTTTTAATAATTCTTTTTAGTGCCATCGAGCATATAATACTTTTTGTTATGTCATTCAATCATGTTAAACACGTTAATAAGTTTGCCGTACTGCCCAATGAAAACCTGGGCGCTTACCGGTATGTGAGAGGGCAGGAGAGACGCTTTTTCTTTGCATTGAAACTTTAATTAACTAGAGATATTTCAATTGGGTGATTATAATTTAATGTTTTGTGAGGTATTTTTTTTTTTTTTTTTGTGATTATTTTGCGGTTAAATTAGGAATTATGCAGGATCGCAAAAAAATGCGACATTTTGTTGATTTTGCGTTGTATTCAGCGATCGCAGAATCGCGGAAAACTGGAGGGACTGCAGGAGACCTCTGTTGAATGTGCGTGACCTTTGACCCCTCAGACGGCATTGCATGAGAAACCGTCATGCTACTGTGTTAAATATAGCCACATGTGCTCAAGAGTACTTTGGAAAACCATTGTCACTGAACACAGTCTGACGCTGCATCAAGAAATGCGACTGGAATCTGTGTCACGCAAGGAGAAAGCTATTCATCTGTTCAATGCAGAGATGCCGGCGAGTTCTCTGGGCCCGAGCTCGTCTCAGGTGGTCTAGAAGACAGTGGGAATGTGTGCTGTGGTCTAATGAGTCCATGTTTCAGCTTGTTTTGGGGAAAAACAGACATGGAGTTCTCAGTCCCAAAGACGAAAGGGACCAACCAGCCTTTCATCAGCGACCAGTGAAAAGCAAACACATGTCCTGGTATTGGGTGCATCAGTGCAGACGGCATGGGTGACTCGATTTGTGTGAAGGTACCAATGACGTGGAGGTATATATTGGGATTGAAAAGAGACATTTAATGGCTTCAAGATGACATCTTTCCTGGGAAGCAGGGCAATGCCAGGCCTCATTCAGCATGTGCTACAACCGAGTGGTTTTAGCCACTCCACACTGTGGAGAGGGTGTGCTTGACTGGTCTGACTGCAGTGCAGATCCGTCTCTTATTGACAGCGGATGTCTTGTATCAGGCGAGATTGGGCAAAAACTGCAACAATAAGTTTCCTCAATTCCCAAAGGATTGAAGAGTGTAATTAAAAGGAAAGGTGATGTGACACAGGGGTAAATATGGATACTTTTTTGGAGTGTGTTGCAACCTTCAAAATCCAAATTTGTTTATATTTACAAAAAACTATTCTCTTTACCTTTACTATCTTTTATTATTTATCCATGCTATCTTTTCTTTGCACTTTTGTCAGTTAAATAAAGGTTAAAGAGAATTAACAAACCACAGATTCTTATTGCATTTTACAAATTGTCCCAACTTCTCTAGAAATTGAGTTGTACATATACTATATGCATATTTAAATATTATTTCAATAAATGAAGACATGGTAAAACATTTAAAATATTCATAAAACAATTAAAAAGCATTAAAATAAAAAAAGTCATCATAAATGGCCACCATTGTTGAAGAAACACCACCATATCAGCATTGTAATCTAATAAATATATAGCGTTATTGTTTTTTTTTCTTTCAAAAAATACATAATTGTACAAAATTGAAAATATGAATGTATAATTCTCTATTTAAGTTGCCGTACAGTGTCTCGAGACCACTTTCAAGATCAGCTCCAGTGACTGCCATCTCGCCGCCCCTCAGCCACTGAGAGAGATATTCCTCAACTCTCTCCTCAAAGTAACTACATTTCATACATATCAGCCTGTCATGATTTTTTTGATTACAGTTGTTTTAATTCTCCAAGCAAGATTTTAGACACATTTTCCCACAGTTTCTTGTCTAATTGTTGTCTACAGAATGATATTGTTACGTTACCTGAGACGTTTCCATCTCCTGAGGACATTGAGAGAGCCGAGCAGCTTAAAAACGAGGGCATGTCAACCTTTCCTACTGTATTTAGACTCAAAACACTGTCAGAATCATATCACACGAGCACACGATGCATAACGTATAACTTAATCGTTCTGTCATCATGTTGTTCCATTGTGATGATGCAAATAAAAGCATGATCAATAATGAATGCATCAATCATTTCCAATGCTCAAATGCTTTTGTGTTTCTTTATTAGGAAATAACCACATGAAAGAGGAGAATTATAGCAGTGCTGTGGACTGTTACACAAAAGCCATTGAGTTGGACCAAAGAAATGCAGTCTACTACTGTAACAGGTGAACGCTTGATATCGCACTGTGAGAACGCGTCGCTCATAAAGGCGGGTGTGTTGATGTTTGGTGTTGACTGATGGGATTGTTCTCTCTCAGGGCTGCGGCACATAGTAAACTTGGAAACTACACAGAGGCCACGGGAGACTGTGAACGAGCGATTGCCATCGACCCTTCGTACAGTAAAGCTTATGGCAGAATGGGGTGAGATGGTTTAATTATTGTGGTGTAACCGTCAGTGTTGTTATTGTAACTGAAACTACAATTAAACTATTAAAAATCGTGTTCGTTCATTGAAATAAGGCTGAAATAAAATAAAACAAATATTAGATATAATTTATAAATTGTTAACATTAGTTAACTACATTAGTTAACATGAACCAACAAAGAAAAATAATACTTAATCATTTATTAATCTTAATCATTTCAATTTCAACATTTACTAATATACAGTATTAAAATCAAAAGTTGTATCTGTTAATATCATTTAATGGACCTGAGCTGATAAGAACTAGCAATAGCATTTTCAAAGTTTCATGGGCATTAAATGAATCATTTTTCGTGAGCTTTAAATTAACTGGTTTCGTGAGTATTAAATGAATCAGTATCATGAGCATTAAATGATTTAGTCTCATGAGAATTACATGGATCGGTTTCATGAATATTAAATTAATCAGTTTCATGAGAATTACATGAATCATTTTCATGAGCATTAATGAATCAGTCTCATGAGAATTACATGAATCATTTTCATGAGTATTAAATGAATCAGTTTCATGAGAATTACATGAATAATTTTCATGAGCATTAATGAATCAGTCTCATGAGTATTAAATGAATCAGTTTCATTAGCATTAAATGAATCAGTCTCATGAGCATTAAATGAATCAGTCTCATGAGTATTAAATGAATCAGTCTCATGAGCATTAATGAACCAGTTTCATGAGCATTAATGAATCAGTCTCATGAGCATTAAATGAATCAGTCTCATGAGCATTAATGAACCAGTTTCATGAGCATTAATGAATCAGTTTCATGAGCATTAAATGAATCAGTCTCATGAGCATTAAATGAATCAGTCTCATGAGTATTAAATGAACCAGTTTCATGAGCATTAATGAATCAGTTTCATGAGTATTAAATGAATCAGTTTCATGAGCATTAAATGAATCAGTCTCATGAGCATTAAATGAATCAGTCTCATGAGCATTAAATGAATCAGTCTCATGAGCATTAATGAATCAGTCTCATGAGTATTAAATGAATCAGTTTCATGAGCATTAAATGAATCAGTCTCATGAGCATTAAATTAATCAGTCTCATGAGTATTAAATAAATCAGTCTCATGAGCATTAATGAACCAGTTTCATGAGCATTAATGAATCAGTCTCATGAGTATTAAATTAATCATTTTCATGAGCATTAAATGATTTACCGGTAGTCTCATGAGAATTACATGAATCAGTTTCATGAATATTAAATTAATCAGTTTCATGAGAATTAAATGAATCAGTTTCATGAGCATTAAATGAATCAGTTTCATAAGCATTAATGAATCAGTCTCATGAGCATTAATGAATCAGTTTCATGAGCATTAAATGAATCAGTCTCATGAGCATTAAATGAATCAGTCTCATGAGCATTAATGAATCAGTTTCATGAGAATCAAATGAATCAGTCTCATGAGAATCAAATGAATTGGTCTCGGGCATTCAATTAATCAGTTTCATGAGCATTAAATGAATCAGTTTCATGAGCATTAAATTAATCAGTCTCATGAGTATTAAATAAATCAGTCTCATGAGCATTAATGAACCAGTTTCATGAGCATTAATGAATCAGTCTCATGAGTATTAAATTAATCATTTTCATGAGCATTAAATGATTTACCGGTAGTCTCATGAGAATTACATGAATCAGTTTCATGAATATTAAATTAATCAGTTTCATGAGAATTAAATGAATCAGTTTCATGAGCATTAAATGAATCAGTTTCATAAGCATTAATGAATCAGTCTCATGAGCATTAATGAATCAGTTTCATGAGCATTAAATGAATCAGTCTCATGAGCATTAAATGAATCAGTCTCATGAGCATTAATGAATCAGTTTCATGAGAATCAAATGAATCAGTCTCATGAGAATCAAATGAATTGGTCTCGGGCATTCAATTAATCAGTTTCATGAGCATTAAATGAATCAGTTTCATGAGCATTAAATGAATCAGTTTCATGAGTATTAAATGAATCAGTTTCATGAGCATTAAATGAATCAGTCTCATGAGCATTAAATGAATCAGTCTCATGAGTTTTCCCCAAAGTATTGCAACTGTACTGTTTTTCTGTTTAATATATAGTTAGAAAGTATATTGTAAATATAGATATATTGGCGTGGGTGATTCTTTAAAAGTACTGAAAGTCATAAATGAAATCAGATGAATCAGAAACCAGAATAAGTGCATTCCTTTTGATTCCCGTCCCTGCTGAGTTATACAACAGATTTTAAAAGTGAATCTGAAATATGTTAAAAGTAACCAGTATGTTACAGTTATTCATTTACAAAATTACAGTACTTGTATCTTCTTTGATCTTTTTATGATTATAGATTGGCACTAACTTCTATGAGCAAGTATCCAGAAGCGATATCTTATTTTAATAAAGCTCTGGTGTTAGATCCTGAAAACGACACCTACAAATCCAACCTAAAGATCGCAGAGCAGAAACAAAAAGAAGCATCCAGTCCTGTGAGTAGAAGTGTGCTGTCATGTGTAGTTTGATCCACCTTATAAAGAACTTCAGTCTATCTTAGTTTTTAATGAATGTATATTGAGTATCCCAGTTGAGTTATTAAATATGAGAACTAGCCACTAATAACTGCTAACATTAGCTTTTACATGTGTTCTCACAGACGGCCACAGGACTGGGGTTTGACATGGCCAGCCTCATCAATAACCCCGCTTTCATTAGCATGGTATGCGCAAGTGTGTGGTTTCGCATTTCTCTGTTAATAGTATTTATGAAATGGGTCATAAATCGACCCTGCGACCCCTTTCATCTGTCAGGAATGCAGCCCATGCCAGAGTTAAAGGGCCAGTCGGGTGAATCAGACTGAGGGTGAGCGTGGGCTTTCTAGCACACCGCAGCAGTCTAGAAATTGGGACAATTTCAAAAAAAGAACAGACTTTTAAGACCTAAACCTAATGCAGGGTGTGACTGCTTTGGTGTGGAGGAAGAAAGCTGAATTTGACATGCGCTAGGCATCGATTATGCTACTTAAAGACCCCATGGCTATGTTTGGAGTAGCACATTACCATACAATGTGGTATATATAGTGCAGAGCATTTTATCGGACAAAAACTTAATATGTTAGTCCATTTTCAAGGAAGTGAAAGGCTAAAAATGTTTATCGTTTAAAAGTTTGGAGTCAGTCAGAAAGAGTCTCTTTGGTCACCAAGGCTGTATTTATTGGATCTTACAATGTCACTGTCATGTATTCTTTAAATGTGATGTTTGTATCCACTCAAACACTCTCTCTTTTCCACTATAGGCTGCCAGTGTGATGCAAAACCAGCAGGTGCAACAACTGTGAGTTTAAATAAATCAACTCTGTCTTGCAGATTAAACCTTTCAATTCATTTAAAGGGTTAGTTCACCCAAAATATATTCTGTCATCATTTTTTGTCCATCCATTGAAAGCCTACACAATCAACATTTTCCAGCTTCAGAACACACACGAAGATTGAAGATTTATTTTAGGCTTTTATTCACTTACACACATGGTCACACATACACACCTTTAGAAATCGTTTTAATATTGTTGAAAACCAGTGTGCTGCTTATTAGATTTCTTTAAACCATAATACTTTTTTTTCCAGGCTTCTTTGACAAATAGAAAGTTCAAAATATTTTCACTTCTTCGTCAGCTTTTGAACAATAGTGTACATCTGCTAAGATTGGGCAATTTGTCCCAAGCAGTACAATCACTTAATATGATGAACAGATATGTTTTAGGCTTTTATTAAGGCTTCTTATCTTAATTGATCAATGCACGTACATGGAGTACATCAAATATGGTAAACAAAACTCAACGGTACTTTCTTGACGTATGAGAACCGATGAGGTTTGTTCTCACGCTACAAATGTTTTTTGGATGAACTATCCCTTCGAACAGCCAATGCCAGGGTGCGTACAAGGCTGAATTTGACTTTTTGAAATTTAAGTCCTGGAAAACAGCCATATTAACGTACTTGAAAAGTGCTTGACTTATTAAAAAAACAATATATGAAATGATATTTTTTTTCAAAAAGGCACATATGCAATCTTTTCACGCAAAATGAACACTGCAGCCCGTCTGATAAACCCCATCAGACCTTTCCTCGATACGAAGTGCGCCTACATTATAATATAAAAATTGTATTGAACAATAATAGCAATTATAACCTTTGTATTCAATAGATATTATTAAATACGTTGTGAGTTGTATTTAATTTGGATACCCCATATCTGTAATTTGAGTTTAAAAGAGTCCTGGAATTTCTTTTTACCGTATTCTGTACGCACCCTGTAATACTGCAACAGAGAGCTCTTTAGATACACACGCTATATTTAAAAAAGTCATGACCTGGTGTGTTTGTGATCAACTGTCCACACCAGCATGTCGGGCATGATGTCTAACGCAGTGGGCGGACCTGCGGCCGGAGTGGGCGGATTATCTGACATATCCAGTCTCATTGAAGCGTGAGCATCTTCTCTTTGACATTTGATTGACGTGACATGTGTTCCACGGAAGGTTTTAAGAATGATGTGGTGCGTTCAGAGGTGATGTGTGTGTAATATACGGCTGCACCGAGCAGAATTACAGGCGTAGCGGGATGTTTTGATGTGACTCATAAACCCGGACTCTGACCCGGTGTTGTTTGCTGCCGTTTCACTCAGTGGACAGCAGTTCGCCCAGCAGATCCAGCAGCAGAACCCAGAGCTGATCGAACAGCTGAGGAACCACATACGGAGTCGCTCCTTCAGCGGCAGCGCGGAGGAACACTCCTGATCCCCGCAGGTCTGACACCTCACACTCATCCTGTTCAAACTACACACTTACACGCAGTTCTGATGCGAGGAAACACACTCATCAGAGTTGGAGCATTGAGCTGTGGTGCTCAAATCTGAATACAGCTTGTGACATTTCCAACCTAGGCTCATTGGGAAAAAAACCTTCTCCAAAACATACAATTCACTGCGGTTTCCAGCAAAAATCAACACTAGAGGCAGTAAAACGCTAACAACTTGCATTCCTTTTCACACAAATGATGATTACAGGGGCAGATTATCAATGAATAGACTTATTTTTATGCAAAATGGTACGACTTGACCTCAGAAGGCTAGCTATGTTTAGGTGCAGTTATCGGACTGATGGCTCAATCAAACCGAAAAGCCTTCATATAAACATCATTAAATGAAGTTGAGCCACAGGTGTGGCAAGAGGCGGCGTGGCCGTGAAGGATAAACGAGGAGTGACGACAGAGGAAGACGACAGAGGACTAGACCTGGACTGTTTTAGTTTATGCGGCAGTCGTCTGTGAGGGGTGCCGCTTTACTTTTGTTTTGCTGTTTATGTTGAACATTTGCCGGTTCTCGCCTACTTCCCGGAGGCTTTAACATTGTTACATTGGTGGCGATACCCGGGAGGAAAGAGGAACACGTTGTCAAAGAGCCCTCGTCGCGTTTTAAAAGAAAGATATGTCATTAAGATAGCCTGGTTAAAACCAGACCATTCTCAGTTGTAACTGAGTTATGGTCTGGCAAAGCGTCATAGACAAATCATTTCCAGAGGGGCGTCACCAACGGACGTCGCGGATAGACCTAAACCCAATCAGAGCGATGAAGGAGATGACGTATGCAGAGCGGTGGAGAAACCTCTCCGAGTGTTGTTCTTTGCTCGGTTTTTAACAAAAGGAAATGTTCAAATGGCTTAAAACAGACGCGATAGCTGATTCCAACGAGTGATGTTCGACGGCGGCGTCCATCTTTGTAATGTAGGCTACAAAATCTGCTTCAAAATCGCAGCACTGTCGTCATCGTGTAAAGCCCGCCCCAACGCTTCTGATTGGTGCCTCGATTTCGGCGGATTGGAAATGGGCTTGAATGAGCTCTTTGCCAGACTAACTTTCAGAGCAAATCTAAATTTGCCGGAAGTTGTCTGGGTTTTCCCAGGCTATCATTAAGAGGGAAAAACTAAACAATTATACTCACAGTAGCTCCGGTGACATCATAATGGTAATAATTCTCAACGCAGTAGTTGTTCGTAATACATGTAAACACAAATATATACATCAGATTGCAAAGTTTAGGGTTCGTACAAACAGAGCTTTCAGAATCAGATTGGATTCATTGAGAGTGATGAAAACTAGTGCATAAACATACTCTCTTTACTGTCACTTTTGTCCAATTTAATGCGTCTTTGCTGAAAATAGGAGTTTATTTCAAAAAATGTATTTTTCAACACTGAGCTGTGGTGCTGCTCAGTTTGACACTTGTGACATTCAGTTTCCAGCTGAAATGAAAACTAGTGGCAGTAAAAGACCAACAACTTATTCCTTTACACATAAATTATGATTATATGAGCAGATTATCGATTATTAAAGACTTATTTTCACATGGTTCCTTGATCAAAAGAATGCTGACCTCAAAACACTTTTACCATCGAGCATTTGTAAACTAATACATTTTGACGTTTGCATCACATAATCAGCTCCATATGTATTTCCTAAAATAGTCAACTTTCCCGATAGCTCTCCTGATACAGCAATGCACTTGTGATGTGAAGCGCTCGATATTATATTTCCCAACTGCCGCGATGCGTGCAACAACCAACAACCAGATTCAAGTGTCGTGAAAAGTGCAAAAAAGCGTCGTTTTCCCAGTGAGCCTGTGTTGGACATTTTCCCAGTGCTCTTTTCACTGTCTGTGACTAGTAGGGATTTTCCTGTAACATTTAAACTGCTGTAAATATGTTCCACAGACAGGACTTATATGTTCACGCACCCGTGGATCCTGCAAAATAATGAAAACTATAAACCTGGGTTATACAGGATCAAGAATCAGAGGCAGAGACGTGAGTGCAATCGTTAAATTCATTCTTCTACTGGAGTCGAACCCGAGACGGAGGGAATGGCACTTTATACGGAGACGTCGGGGGGGAAGAGGAGAAAACACATCTAAAATCACCTTATACACAGAACATCCTCTTAGGTTTCTTTGTGTTTGTCTGTGTAGATAATGTTTCAGTCCTCTTTATGAATGTAGCTGGTTATGACACATCAGAGTTGACTTTATTTTACTAAACGAATGATTGATCATATGCTTATGCCTATTAACTAAATGTGGGGCCATGTTATTAACATCCAAGGGCATTGTATAAGAATAGTTCACAGCCAAAATGACAATTCACTCATTGTTTGGAAAGACACGAGGGTGAGTAAATGATGACGGTTGTCATTTTAGGGTGAACTAACCCTTTAACGCATTCTGATTATTTTGTACAACATATTCTGTTCGTTTTAGGAACAAGAGACATTTGTGTGTGGTAATCACTATATCAGCTGCTTCACCAGATCTGTTCGTCTAGTCATTTTATTCACTGGTAATGACAACAAAATGTTGCTAAATAAGCATATTCATGATCTCAGCATTTGCGATTTTCTTTTGCATGCTCCATAATCTGATATTTACAGTCAGATGAGTGATTGAAGCCTATGTAATATGCTTATAAAACACAGAGCGGTATAATGTTTTGTCAAAAAAACAATGTTAATAAATGTGTCTTGAAATCATTCTGTCGATATCAGCGTCCTTTGCGGCAAAACATTATGATATTTGCTTATCACCCACCAGAACAACACACTTTTGTATAGCAAACCTTATAAATGTTTTAACTCACTGCATTAGCTGATTTTTAATTTACATTTTATTTACATTGACAGGTAAAATCATGATTAAGGGCTTTAAAAATGACATTTTAAAACAACAAGCTTAAAGGTAAAGAGCAAAAGGTGTTATATTAATAGGTGCAGAACAGATGGGAAGTTGGTCCATTGACACAGACAGTGCAGAATGCCACAAGGGTTCAGCTCTCTGGACTCGTGTAAGGACACACCACACAGACCTGTGCGATGTCATCATATTCATACGTTCTTTTCAGGAAAGTATCCGTTAGCCTCAGTCCTGATATGCTCTAAAATAAAACAAAAATGACATAGATGTGTCATGGACCCTACATCATAATTCATTTCATTTTTGCTACTGTACCTCTGGTGCTCTTCGGTCATTTTTTTTTTTACTTTTAAATTTTTTACGAAACAATCTCACTGAAAGCTCTTTTTTCTGAGATATCAATGTCAAATTTGGAGCACAACTTGTTTAGATATTTGGCTTTGATCTTCTTGCAGTTTTAGAGTAAAACGTGATTTTGAAAATATATATTTCATATCAAAATTGCAAATAGTATTTTTGTGCATTTTTCATAGCAATGCACGTAAAATTCTGTTGCTTTTTTTAAGTTCACTTTTTAAAACGTTTTTCACTTCAGCAATAATCTGCCAAGTGTCGTCTTTGAAAATAGATCAAACTTAAAGGGATACTCCACTTTTTTTTGGAAATAGGCTCATTTTACAACTCCCCCAGAGTTAAACTGTTGAGTTTTACCGTTTTTGAATCCATTCAGCCGATCTCCGGTTCTGGCGATACCACTTTTAGCATAGCTTAGCATACATCATTGAAGTGGACAAGACCATTAGCATTTCTAAAAAAAAAAAATGACCAAAGAGTTTCGATATTCGATATGACGCAGCGCCTGAAAATAGTTCCGTTGTGTTGACGGAAGGTGGCCTATTTTCAGGCGCTGCGTCATATCATTACGCCTGCTGCTCTCATGGTACGGCAGTGAAGTTTCTTGATTATTACGCAGGAATGAGAGTATAGTTCCTAGCCATATCAGCCTAGAAAATCGCAACTTTACATTTTCCGTCGGTCTTAGTGCACGATGTAACTACAGAAGAGTCAAGTTTTAAATAGGAAAAATATCGAAACTCTTTGGTCATTTTCTTTTAGAAATGCTAATGGTCTTGTCCACTTCAATGATGTATGCTAAGCTATGCTAAAAGTGGTACCGCCAGAACCGGAGATCGGCTGAATGGATTCAAAAACGGTAAAACTCAACAGTTTAACTCTGGGGGAGTTGTAAAATGAGCCTATTTCCAAAAAAAGTGGAGTATCCCTTTAAGTCTGCGCTCTAAAGCATTCAAGATGTACGACAGTTTAAGTTGGAAATGTAATTTTCAGGTCTATGCTCAAAAAGTGAATAAATGGATTATAAATACAGCGCAAATAGAATTTAGTATTAAAAAAATCCCCTACAAATACAAAATATTCAATAAAAAACATTATCAAACTAAAATAGTACATTTCATTTCTGACCGACACGCGAAGAGCACCCGAGGGTTGAGACAAGCCTATCTGTAAATTACTGTTATGATTGGCGCCTTTGCATTACATGCCAAATGACTAAATATCGCTAAACTGAATCTGAATTCAAGTAGCAAACTTTGCCCGACTCGGCAAAGTCGAAAATCAAAACACAGTAAAAGCCCACGGAGTGTACCTGTAAGCCCTGGACGGACGACAGGAGCCTGAGAGGAATGGACAGCGAGGCGCTGGGGCTGAGTTTACCCAGCTGTCTGCCGGACACCCCACACCAGTGGACGGAGCGCGTGTTGCACATCTCCAGAACCAGATCCATGGTCCTCTCACTGACAACAGGAACACCAGCGGTTAAAACCCACAGAGTTGATCTGTAAGCTGACAGGCTCTCGGCCGTGCTCTGACCTGCAGTTGGTGATTTTACAGGTGATGTCGAAGGGCTCCTCGAGGTCGACCGTGTCCGGGATGAACTCGAGGGAAAGCCTAACATCACCGTAACCAGGAGCCTAGAAGAGAAGGCCTGAATGAGCTGCGTTCTGTGTAACATACTGTGGACAATTTGGGTTGTAGTCCATTGGATTAACTATAGCGACTGAGCGATTCTTTAGTTTTCTACTCTGATGTACCATTCTCTGTAGCTGGCTGGTCTGTAGGCGTCCTCTCTCCCCGAGGTTGGTTTTCCACACAATGTCTAGTTTGCCGATTACCGTCACCCCCTTGATGACCCCGGCCTTCTCCGCAA